AATACCTACTCAACCTTTTCAGTCTATCTACTGGTCTTTTTGTTAACTTCAGTAAATCCTCCATGATCCCCATAAATATTGATCAACAGTCAGTTTCTATGCTTGCAACATCATTTGGATCTAAGGCTGAAACTCTCCCATTTACTTATTTGGGTCTTCCCGTGGGTACCACCAAACCTACTGTACAAGATCTCATACCTGTCATATCTAGAGTTGATAAAAGACTATCTGGAGTTGCTAGATTCATGAACCATTCTGGCAGACTTACTTATATATAAACTCTGGTGTTGCCTCCATGCCAATATTTGCTATGTGCTCCCTTAAAGTTCATATCACCATATTAGATCATGTTGATAAATCAAGCAGACATTTTTTCTGGTATGGAAATGAGATTAATAAAGGAAGTAAATGTCTGGCAAGCTGGGATATGATATGCAAGAGCCAAAGCAACAAGGGGGACTTGGTGTTTTAAACTTAAGAGAACAAAATAAAGCTCTCCTTATCAAGCACCTTTTCAAGTTCTACAACAAGATTGATGTTCCATGGATCAAATTAATTTGGGAGTCCTACTATCAAAATAATGAAGTACGACACTCCAATAATAACAAAGGCTCATTTTGGTGGAAAGACTGCATGAAAATGTTTGAACTACTCAGAGATATGACCTCCTATGAGATTAAATCTGGAAATTCCACTATGTTATGGGAGGACAATTGGAAGGGAGGTATTATGAAACTGAAGTTCCCTGAACTACACTCCTTCACTCAAAAGGAGAATATATATCTATCTGGACTGCCAAAGGTTTGGAAAATTATTATAGCTTATTTCAGCTACCTCTATGCATCACTGCCCACCAACAGTTTCACTTGCTATCTGATGAATTAAATAACATCAGGCACAATAATGATCATGACATTTGGAACTTCAATTGGGGCAGTAACCTAAACATGACAAAGAGGATCAACGATTATCTAATGAAAAGTGAAGATGTTGTTGATACTTTCAAATGGCTAGGAAAATATGTTATTTACCAAATCATAAATTCTTTTGCTGGGTAATGCTTAATGACAGAATAAATACATGTGATCTATTGACCAGAAAGAGCATGCACCTTGACTCTACTAAATGTGTCCTATGCAATACTGAGGATATGGAAGACAGAACTCACCTCCTCTTTACTTGCCCTTTCAGTCAAGGATTTTGGTGGAACATTGGTTTTGAATGGAACTCTGATATGGATATCCATAATATGATTATTGATGCTAAACATCTCTACTCCTAATGGACGACTTGGTGAATAGTCCGCGCGGTTTATTTTTATCGGGTTTTTTTCGTCATACTCTCACCGTCGGTTTTTGTCGTCATCCTACCACATCTGCATTACTCGAACGAAAAAACGGGCAAAGACAACCCTCCCTCGCACGACAGAAATTTGGACGAAGAACGAACCAAAAAACCGGACGAAGCGGGAGCGAGCGCCCTCGCAGGAACCGATCCAGGCCCCCTCCCATGAGAAAAAAAACTGACGGAGGAGGCTACCCTCGATCTAATCGCTACAGCAACGGGAACCACGCCCCAGCCGCCATCGCTGATGCTTTCGCCGTTGCGGATCCCTTTGCCGGCACCGAGGTGCCAGAGAAGCCGCGGCCGCCGTCGGGACGCCGCTGCCGAGATCCTCCATCGCCGCCCCGGCCCCGACCATCCAGGTGCCGCCGACCCACGCACGCCGCCGCTCCACGCGCGTGGTCTGCCCCTCCACGCCTCCATGCGCCGCTGCAGCCCACGCACGCCATCTGCCCCTTTAAACCTCCACGTGCCGCCGATGAGTTCGTCGTTGCCGACGGGGAGAGCGGGGGGAACAACCTCGGGGAGCGAGAGGCCGTCACCGGCCCCGGGATTCGGCACCGCGCGACCGTCATCGACGCAGTCCGGAGGTTCGCTCGCCCCCCTTCACTCCGCCTCCTGCGTCCGTACGGCGAACTGTCCGTCTCTTGCTTCCGGCCGGCAAACGACACGACGGCGCGTGCCGTCGGGCGCGCCTGCCTTGCTCTGATCAAATGGGCCTGTGTCTTTTTTCTTTCTGTCAGTTCCTCCAAACCCTTGTCGCACGAGTCGCCACGCAGCGCCAAGTACGGATTCTGTTTTTCAAGTGGCCTAATCGTTCGGTGTGACCTACGGACTATTTTTTCCCCAATTCTTAGGATGCGCATATGGTGATAAGCTCTTCTCAATCTTTTGTTTTACATAATGTACAGTTTGTTTTTTTCTTCAAAATTCACGCCCTAGAGCGATTTGATGCGTCAAAGAGTTACGACAGCTCCAACGCGGCTCACAAAATCGACCACAAATCTCTAAATCCATGTTGCATTGTGTTAGGGCATGGTTGAACTATCGTTTTCAAAAATATTATTATGTCATTATGCAGTTCATCCGGACAGACATCTGCTTGAAATTATGATAAAACAAGCCATGTTCAGTAGAGTAGTTGTTTTCAGCTTCATTCAGCTCACCACTTTGATGCTTGTAGGTACCAAGTCTGCTACTCGTACCGACATGTTGGTCGACGTAGGAATGGTAGCTGGCTGTGATAATCTTGAGGTTCCACGACATGTTGGGGTACTTTGTGTATTCCTTTCTTCTTTGGAACAAATATGTTCATTCTTTGATGTAGTTCTTTGCCCCAATCCTGATGTATCCGTGTATTACTTATGCATAGAAGTAGAGCATAGTTTCATGCTAGCGACTGGTACATTCTTACGCTATAACACATGTAGAAGTTTGAATAGCAACCGTATAATAGAAACAACTGTTTACTCCTTGATGAATTACATACATTGTGTATTCATCATTCTAACTGGATTACTCTTTGTTACAGAATGGAAGTGCATCCCCCGCGAAAGGCACACAGAGGAAATTTGTTGTTGATGCAACCAAAGGTGCATCACCAGGTGTTAATGCAAGTAACACTGGGCAGCACCTGCATTACCGCAGAAAAGGTAATGGTCCTGGGAAACATGCAAAGCTGGAAGACAACAAAGGTGCTACTAGGTTGGGGAGAGATCAGACACCAATCGGCGTATTTGAAGATGAATGCGTTTTCTGCCATTCATTTAGAACCAGTGATCTGGTAATATGCTGCATATCCTTTACACATATCAGTAAAAAATGTCTGTTGAAGTCTTCTTATTTGTACTGGCACTAAAAATGTTCACTTTTCCTATGTCAGTGTCATGGTCCGATGGTCCGATGGTACTGTATCACAATAGAAGGATTGTGCCCAGTGACGAGGGCAACCCTACCAACGCCATCTATGTCCACGAGAAATGCATGGTTTGGTAAATTTCTTTATACAGCATGGTTAACTCTTCATATTTAATTTATTTAGAATCATCATATGCAGTGTTCATCCATCCTTTTAATTCTTTACCCATGTTTCTGAAGGGCCCCAAAAGTGGAATCCAATGGTGATACTTTTAAGAATGTGGAGAGTGAAATCAATCGTTCTAAAAGATTGAGATGCAGAAGATGCAAACTCCCGGGAGCAGCACTTGGTTGTTATGACAACTCCTGCAGAAAAAGTTATCATGTCCCATGTGCAATGATGATACCAGAATGCCGCTGGGATGAAGTAAGCTTTTGAGTATACCTTGTCCTTGATCCATTTATAAACCTAGCACACAACGCGGTGATTGGGAGATGGGATCTTCTGTTGCCCAGGGATGTACATCTGATTTTAAGAATATCACATCTGAGTCCTGCGTCCCTTTAGCCTCCTCCCCTCCAACGTCCATGGCTCTGAGATGAAATCAAGGTTGACTGATGTTTGATATGAACAGAATAAAGTCTACAGGTCAAAGGGAAAATAGAATGGGCTTCCATATGATGGATCTACATGGGGGAAATAAGTCTGATATCTTGGTGTTTCAATCTCAGATTGAATTCTTCAACAAGATTTAGTCCAGGAGCAAGTCTACTGAGAAGAGCAAGGGTGTCGATCATGAATTTTTGTTTTAGTTGACTATAGGTTTCATGTGGTATGTCTCCAGGTTCGTTCTTTGAATTTGTTTCCTTGTTAACTTCTGACGCTATAGATTTTATATCAGTAAAAGTGTCATCCTTGGTGATAAGATGGGACTATATTAGAGCTATTATTAGTGTATGCTAGATTGGATCAAATGTAGACATAAAAATGCAACAAAACTGCAAGTCCACATCTGATTCAACACACTTCCACTGTAGTGTTTGAGTGCATATACTGATGTTCTTTGATCAACATAGGGTGATGCTTGGTAGTTACCCCTCTCTCAGCCTTGCAAATTTTGGGTGTGTGAATTTGCAACTTGGACACCTCATAGAATGTTGGTCCGAATATTCGAAATTGATCATGTATATATCCCTAGCAGATCTAAGCTGTCACTCCCTTTTTTTTGGTTGTCAGGAAATGTATTTTTGATCTCAGCTTCTAATGATGAAAAGAAGTAGTCAAGAATAAAATTTGATGTCCTTTGGCACCTTACAAGATGATAAACATCAACACTGATGTTCTGTTGTTCTGATAACTGCAAAATAGGAACGCATGGTACTTATGTAACCACATATGTTTCCTTCTTCACTTTTGGGAGGATATTTCTTACGCCCTTTATATTGACTTGTCCCTGATCGTAATATTGCAGCATCAATGGGCATGAAGGGCGTGGGTTGAAGACCAATTATTCTACATTGTTTGGTCTATTTAAAGGTAACTGTACTAAACATCCTGTTCTTACTGCTCTTTACTCTTTAGTTAATACCATCAGTGTGGCACTCCTCCTTTTTAACGTTCTTTTAGTTAGTAGCAGTATTTTTGAAGTGTTTCTACCATTTCTCTCGAGGTTCTAGCGGTGTTCACGATATTAGGCTGTAATTGTTGCCAGCCTGATCTTGGTAAATTTTCCTTGCTTAGTCTTAATATTGAAACTTGCTCGGAGGATCCAACCAAGGCCACATTTTTGATAAATAAGATGCAAGATTCTATTCCGTCAACAGGCTTTGATGTGTCATCAGCAGCTCTATTGCAAGTCTCTAGCGTCGACTTACCCCAGTTCCTTCGGTTCAGATGTCGTTTCCTAATTGCTAGAGCTGCAAGGGTACATATTTACTTCCTTATCATCCTTGAGTCATGTTATCTGCGAGGGTACTTAATTGCTTACGTGTTTGCAGTTTCTATTTTTGAACCTTTATATCTAATCCTCTCTTTAATTTTCAGTCAGCTATTTATTTTCTTACGCATGAAAGAACTTTTCTTAATGCGTGGGTGTTTATAGAACATCGCTGGTCTCTTCAATGGCAATCAGTACTCATTGGTGTTATCAGGCATTCAATCAGAGGTGCGGCATGCTTCTGACATCAACGACGTCGCCAACAACGTTTATCAGCACAATTCGGCCACCGGTCCTACCGTTCTGCAAACTTGGATCTCTGGCAAAAACTGAAAATTTCTTTTTGGGTTAAGCACTATTGATTTGTGGTGGTAAATTCTTTTGGCAAGGAAACTTAAATATATTGTAATGTGAGTATCTCGACTGGCATTGAGGATTAAGAACTTTAACTATGCCGCCACATTTTGTAGGCACTATAACTACCATTCTAGGCATGTATATGCATGGTATTCTATGCAGAATTTGTTTGCTCATATACAAGGAATACTCACTACATTATGAGACAAAGTTTATTATGGACTGGTAAGAGTTTACTGATGATTCATCCTATCATCCTTAGATACAAAGATTAAGGTGTACACACTTCAAACACTCATGTTTGGCATGTTCCACGCAACACACCTGCTCCATGAAACAACAACATTGGTCGAGGTAAGCACTCCTTCATGCATCCTCCATATTTTTTTCATTCATCAAGTTTGATTTTTTTACATGCATTTTAGTTTTCTCTTAAGTTGTTTTGTACTTACTGAAATAATGACTTCAGTGGCAAAAATTGCTTATGTATTTGTTGAAACATGGGCATGACTCATGCATTTTGTTAGGCTGAAGCACAGGAAGAAGCAGTGTGGGCATCGCCACATCCTGTGCGTGATCGTTTCCACTCTGCCACATGCGATGCAGAACACCCCAGGTTTGACATGTCGTCGCAGTAGTTCATCACCAACAGCCAATCCATTTTTTAACATCCGCCAGCCATGTATTTTAACTTTGTTTGGGACATCCGCGGCCCATAATTCCATCCAACTCTTATGATCCGCAACCGAGCTGGACGAGGAGGCCAGTGCCTTTCTCGCCGTCTTCAGGGTCATCCCCAGATGGTAGGCCGATCTCACGGTGAAGATCCCATTTCTGGTATAGTTCCAGGCCCGGAAATCTTCTTTGCCCGGTCCCCCCACTACTATCTGTCTAATATCTTGGGCATCAGACGGAGTGAACACAGCCTGCAGTTTTCCTTCGTCCCAGGCCGTTCCGTCCTCCGAGAGTAGGTCAGCCACCTTGATCGTATTCGGTACGTAGTTGGCACCTAGAGGAGTCATGCTTCCATTGCGGGGTATCCAATTGTCATGCAACACGTTGATCTTCGTTCCAGGCCCGGAAATCTTCTTGTGCTGATTCAATTCTATTACGTAAACAATAAGTAATAAAGAATTCAGAAATTACACCATATATGTGAGATCACTTCCCTAGAAGACAGGCATAAGATTTTTTCTCGATAACCTTCCATAATAAAATAAGATATTTGTTCATAAAAAATTGCTAATCCACCGCGCTATGTCATTTATTATTATCATTATCTCTACTATTAATTGACAGTCACAAGTTTCCTATGGGCATACCTATCCGCGCGCTCCTGCGGAGGGACGTCGTGCACGACACCATGGAAGATGTCGTGGCCGGGCCTAACCCTGGCGCAATGCTCGAGAATGCCAGGGCGTGGATCACGTCATCGAAGACGACCGTGGCGGGAGGCGGGTCATCAGACCGCCATGTGGACGCGGTCACATTATATTTCTTGACAGTCAAATGGAGAGCCACATGGCTACATTCTCAAATCAAGTGTGTCAATTTAAATGTCAAGAAATTCATTAAGATATTGTGTCCTACATTACTCGGTAGTCATTGTCATAATCGTTTGTAGCAGCCATTCATGCAAAAATAATTTAGAAACCGAGCACCGAATCAATTTGGAAATCAAACCATTGATGCAATTAATCAGCTAGACAGTTAATTACGTATGCAATTAATTAGGTCCATTTGAATAGATTTTTTTTGCACCAAATCAATTTAAAAATCGAGTCATTTGGTTAGATAATTCTTTATGCCTACAGATAATTAGAAGTAGGAATTTTTTCCCGATTAGTCAGATAATTAATTGATTTGGTTGGCACTTAATTAGGCATGTAGAGAATTAGGTAGGTCATTAATTTTTTGTTTACTTAATTAATTAAGTAAGCTGTTAATCATGGCAAATCATTTTGAAAGCGCTCGTGGGCAAGATCGATCAACGGGCTCTCAGCTACATGGCCAAGCGTCGAGCACCGCTTGCCAACATGGACAACGGCCACCATGCGCTTGCGACATGGGCGACCTAGCATTCACCAAGATGGATGAAGTCTATGCTCCGTAGGATGCCCACACGCTGATAGTTGCCGAAATGTACGTGGGTGAGGACAACACGACACAACACTAGCCAGTTGGTTCATGCTATAATAAAAAGGAAGAGTGTTCCAAAAACATGAAGAAAAAAGAACTAAAGCCACCAAGTGGTGCATGGTGTTGGATAAAGAAAGAGTGTTCCAAATAATAAGAGAAAAAAAAGAAAGAAAGAGTATTCTAGGAAAGAAGTAGGAACGAGAACTAAAGTTGGCGAGGAATGAGAAAGAAGAAGATGAGGCGTCGATGCCGAACACACTAATGTTGACGTGGTGTTGGTTGGCGCGAATGAAACGGGTTGGCGAAGAGGCGAGGAGTAGAAAATGTAGGGAAAGACGAGGAAGAGAAGAACCACAATTATCCCTTGTAGCATATGTGCGATCGAGTATTGGGGACTAGGAATACGTTCACGTTGCCACTCTCATCCAATGTCAATTCGCATTTGCAAAGTTGAATAGACCTTTGAGAATGATCTCTGTAGTTATTTGTTATTTTTTGTGTCAATAGTATGTTTTAGTTTAACCCACTCTATTATATTGTAAACAGGAAAAAATCATCCATATTGCAGTGCACGGCAAAGATGAGGTTGACGTCATATGCTTTTAAAGGAGGTGGCTCCAGCGAGAGAAAAACAAAACAAGAAATGTCCCGCTACGGTAGGAAACTGGTCGGGAGTGAGAGGTTCCGACAAAAAAAAGGAAGGTGCGTCATTGGATGGGGTTTTTATGTTGAACCCGGGCGTTATAGTTATTGCGAATAGCCCGTAGCAACGCACGGGCATTTTACTAGTAGGTACAACATTAGTCATTTCATGGAAATAATGATTGTGGGGTGCTGGAGCATCTGGAATCAAACAAATGGGAAGGTATTTGAAGGAATTCCTTGCTCAATCAATGAATGCAAATATGATTTTATCAGAACTTTCAAGTTAACTATGCTGAGAGCCAAGCCTAGTCTGAAGGATGGCATGTCATCCTGGATTGATCACATTTAATTCCTTTTTCTTTCCTTATTTTCTTTTTAAGTTGTTAGCCCAGCTTTCTCTGGTTGTCCCCCATCAACCATTGTAAAGACTCCTTTTATGTTTCCTTTCTTATTAATGAAAAATGACACATAGTAGGGATTTTGCCCTACTGTTCTATGGTAAAAAAAAAGGTCAGTTGTTTGAAACAAATGCAAATGGTTGACCAATGGCGTCAACCAACACGCACCAAACTACTACTCCCTCCGTCCGGAAAAACTTGTCTCAAGCTTATCTTTCAAATGGATGTATCTAGCACTAACTTGGTGCTAGATACATGTATTTGAGGGACAAGTTTTTTCAGACGGAGGGAGTAGCTTAATTTCCCATAATGCCCCTGTTCACCCCAACTGAAATGCGGGCGTGCTATAGGTAGAGACGTCATTTCCACTTCTGAAAATCCTCGCGCTCGTCCCCGCGTTCAATCTCGCGCCTGTTATAAGTAGGCCCCAGCGCCGTTCCCCCAACCGCCTCCCCCATTCGAAGTTCTGGAAGGGGGAAAATCCTCCAAAAACCCAAATCCTCCCCCATCAATTCGTCGCTGCTTCGTCCGACCTCCGCGTCGAGATGTCCAATCAGCGAGGCGGTGGCCAGGTGGGCCTCCGCCGCGACGGGGGAGGCGGCGGCGGCGGCGGCGGCGAGGTTGCTGACGTTGACGAAGACGGCTTTACTCCCGTCAGAAACCGCAGGAGAGGCCCCTTTCGCGGCGGGGGCGGTGGAGAAGGCGGGGGCAGCGGGCGCGGCGGAGGCGGCGGGGGCGGCGGCGCAGGCCCCCCTCTCGAGCCAAGCGGACGAGGGCGTCGGGATGGCCCATGGAATGCACCTCGGGGCCCGTACCCCCCCGGGTACGACGACCACGCGCAGCAGCGACAGCAGCATCCCGGCCGTGGCAACGCGGGCCGCGGCCGAGGCGGCGGGAATCACGGCAGGGTCGACAGCGACAGCACTCACGGTCCATACCAGGGCCACGGCGGAGGCGGCTTCCAAGGCCAGCACTGCTCGTCGCAGCAGCAGCAGCGTCGCAACAACCAGCAGTATGACCCGCCATGGTGGGAGTCGAAGGAGATCACACAGGCAACGAGCTCGTCTTCTTCGGGACCTGTTGGTAAGCACCGTTCCCTGGTTCTACTTGCGAGCCTTGTGAACCTCGGCATCCTTGCTTCGTTCCTCTGAAATTTTCGAAACATGGGCGGTTGATCGATCAAGGGTTTCGTGATGGTTAGTGAATTAGAGCCTACCCTGTTTGATTTCGTGTATGCGGTTGATCGGGGCGATGCGTTTCTCCAGCCGTACTGTTTACCTTTTGAAATTACGGGCCTGTGATTGCAAATTTTGTTGGCTGCGTGTTCATTCAGAGTAGCATTTGCGTCGGTGTGATCTGATTATCCTGGTTCATGATTACTCGCAGTGTATCAAGTTTTATACGGTTCTGTTGCAGTATCATGAACTCCGTAGGATAAATTCCCTTTGCTGCATTGTCTGTATTAGAGATGTACCTACATCTTATTCTCTTGTATCTTGAATCCATATGAAGCGTTTGATTCTTAGCTTGATAGAGTCATTACAATCCTGAATTGCTTGAAAAATTGGGATGAAGATGTGGTGTTGAACTCGCCTACATGCTAACTGAACTCCTAAACTGTTGTTGGTAGCCTCTGTTCTGCAATTTTGAGATGGCAGATGATTGTTTGAGAGGATGCAGAGCATCTGGGATAAGAATCCTATCAGATAGCACTAGAGGAACCTTGGTTGTTTGGTATGCCACCTTGTAGTTTCAGAACATGTAGAAAATCATTTTGGTATGTCAGATAGCACT